CTATTTTCTTGTACTTTTAGCAACAAATACATCTTATCATGAAGATAATGATAATGACGATATTTGGAGACAAATGAATAATAATAATCGAATGTTATGTGAAAATGCAAGTACAATTTTACATAATGATTATCAATTTGAACCTATTGATCATGATTTTCCATCAATTGATATTAATACAATGCCATCATCAGCTATATCAACACCACATCAAACAAATAATACACATTCAATAAAACGTCCTGTACCAATAAATAATTATCATTCAAATCCAGTAATTGAACGTCCAAAAAAATATCATCAACAACAATATGTATTAACAACAAAAAGAAATTCCACAATAAATACTCCAGATATTGGTTCAACAGCCCGTTCATATACATTAACAAGATCATTAACAACTGATCAAATTGGAAATACTATTAATTCAACAACAAGATCAACGAATAATAATAGACTTTATTATTACCCTAGTGTACAAGATGTACTTGATGCATTAAATCGTCGTTCATTTGATAAAGAATCATTTGTTTAGTTGTATATTTCATAATAATAATAGATAAACAAGTTTGAGAAAAACAAATAAAATTTTTATTCTTTTTTCTTTGTTAATATAGAAAGATAATTGGTTAATGTGTATTTCAATCGATTTTTTCAAAAGAAAGGATGATTATAAGATCGTGAATCGTCCCATAGGATTTTTTTCACTGAAATCCTTACTATATCATATCAAATGAAAGATTATGTTGAAATAAGCATCTTTTATGACGGCACTTTTTATTTTTCAACGAATAAACAAAAAGTTTGATCAAGGTCAATATAGGGTGTTTTGGGGTCTCAATTACTTACATGACCAATCTGACTTGGTACTCATATTTATATAAAGCGAATGAGAGAAAAAGATTTTTTTTTTGTTTATTTGCAACTAGTAGGTCATATCGTCCTCTAATACTACTATAAATATCAAATTTTATTACTTTAGCTCTTCTGACTTTATAGTTGAAATACGACTCAAAAAACCTCAAAAATCCATCTTTAGCCTATCAAGCACATTTAGTGTGCATCTTCGATCTCTTTAACGGCAAGAGCAAACGTCATTAATTTTTGACTATTAAGAGCTCTTTACATTAGCTACAATATCAAGAAATAAAACTTCAAATACCAATGAGGAAGGCACATCTCAAAGAGGTACAGACTGTCATCAAAGCACCAATTTCGGCTAAAAATCAATAGTATTTCAAGTATTTTTTATCCAATAGTAGTTAAAATAACAAATTTAACATCAAAATCATGTTCAACATAAAAAACTGACTCGATCTATGTATGTGTCAACAGCACATGATGAGCTTTATTTTCGTCTAAAAATTCACCCCTGGCTCCTTTCAAAGATATGACAAAAAATGGATTCGTCCAAAACGTCACCTTGACTATAAAAGACAAGTTCTTAACCTTGAATATCATCATTAAGAGCCATAAGGAAGTATGTCTAAATAAGAAAAACGAGATTTTAGATGAACTTACTTTTTGACATATCTCTGAGGGGACTAGGATCCAATATTTGGACGACAATAAAAGTCGTCACGTACTTTTGAAACATATATAGATCGAGTCAGTTTTTTATGTTGAACATGATTTTGATGTTAAATTTGTTATTTTGACTACTATTGGATGAAAAATACTTGAAATACTATTAATTTTTAGCCGAAATTTGTGCTTTGATGACAGTCTGTACCTCTTTGAAATGTGTCTTTCTCCATTGATATTTGAAGTTTTATTTCTCGATATTGTAGCTAATGTAACGAGCTCTGAATAATCAAAAATTAATGATGTTTACTCTTGCCGTTAAAGAGATTGAAGATGTACACTAAACGTCTTTGATAGACTAAAGATGGATATTTGAGATTTTTGTGAGTCGTATTTCAACTATAAAGTCAGAAGAGCTAAAGTAATAAAATTTGATATTTACAGTAGTATTAGAGGACAATATGACCTACTAGTTGCAAATAAACAAAAAAACCTTTTTCTCTCATTTGCTCTATATAAATAGCAGTAGCATGTCAGATTTGTCATATAAGTAGGTGAGACTCAAAAACACCCTATATTGACGTTGATTAAACTAGTTGTTTATCTGTTGAGAAACAAAAAGTGCCGTCATAAAAGATGCTTATTTCAACATGATCTTTCATGTGATATAAGATAATAAGTATTTCATTGGAAAAGTCCTAGCAGCCGATTTATGACCTTATAGTCTCCTTTCCTCTTAACTACAGAAAGAAAACAGATATAATAGAATACGTTAACTAATTGAATTGATTATTATTTCTCTTTTATGAAAATATGTCATATATATGAATAGAAATTGTTTTTCGAATGGAATCACATTTTGTCACATATTTCGTCTAATTTCCTGCATAGTCGTTTTTCATCAATGCACTTTTGCAAGTAATAAGATTTGGTGCGAAAATAATAAACAGGTATATTCTCTGAGAAAAAAAAACAGATATAAGTGCACCTTTTTTGCCTTTCAATTTCTACATTCATGATATCTAAATAGCCTGAAAATGAATGTAAGATCAAACAGTTGATAAATTCGATATTATATTTTTCTCACTACTCAATATTTTGCTTTGTTTTTCTTCGTTTAGTTTTGTTTCATATGAAAGTGTTTACATCTAGAATATTCGAACTGCTGTGTACTTTGACCTGACATTTTCCTATATTTGTCCTACAAGTAGGAACGATTTTACCAATTGTTATATAACGAATTGATTATTTACTTGGGTTCTTGCTTCGTTTCGTTGCTTCCTTTTTCTTCCCAGTAAAGAGACATAGAATACATCAAGTTGTCTCTCGAAAATAAAGAGACTCATTGAGGAAAAGTACATTTTGTGAACATGCGTTGCACCATTCGGTGAATGCATGGTACAACTTTGGATTCTATTTGAATATTATCTATTTGTTAGGTTAGATAATGTCTTATGATTGTAAATAAAAATATTGAAAAGATCAAATTTAGCCCTATACTATTGCATTGACATATGACTAGGCATTTTTTTTTAGTACTATCTTTGTTTGAAATGATAAAATGATGCATTCGCTTATTAAGAGTACATCATTTAGTTTTGTGTTTTTTATTCTCTAACGAAAAAAATATGAATCTCAATCTGATCATATAGATTTTAAATCAAAATAAATTGTATCAAAA